CCACAGTGCCCTCAAACCATTTCAATTGGGGCTTATTATGGTCATCAACACCCTGGCCTTGAGACAATGAGACCCAACCATGGCCATAGCCCTAAACAGTTCTCCAAATCTGCGATACCAGTGTTGACTGACCTGAAGAAGGGATAGATGAGACTAATAAAACCAATTCATCCAGTTGCTACAACTAATTCAAAACTGCTGCCTTAATTGTCTGTCTCCACAACAAATGATTCATGGAATCAACCTGAAAATGTGGTCCATATACACAGCAGAATTTCTCAGTCAGAATAAAGAAGAGACGAGTTGTGTCATCTGCAGGAAAATGAATGCAGTAAGAGGTGATTTCTCTCCTTCGTGATTCCTAGATTTATTTTTATATAGGTACATAAAATCTCATATGAATATATATATACATATAATGAAAATTAAAGAACCATTTAGGGGAACAAGGGGACTAGTTCCCTAGTTCCAGGAAGAGGACGTGGAAAGGGGAATAGAGAATGTGAGGGAGTGTCTCAACATACAACATATACTTGTAAAAATCCTTTTTAAAAAATCAATATATTTCTTAAACTCTGTTTGGTTTTAACTTTGTAGCTTGTTTTTTGATCTGTAGTTGAACCTTATGCTTACTAGCCAAGCCAGGCATGACAGCATCCACTTATATAATCCCAGCACTTCAGAGGTAGAGGCCAAAGGATAACGCGTTCAAAGCCAGCCCTGGGATCACTGAAGCATAGCACTGAAAGACCTCAGAAGAGGTACTTTCGTAGAAGGAGACCCGCACCCAGGAATCAGCGAAACCACGAACTTTGGATGCAAAAGCAAGAGGCTTTATTAGTAGCGCTGGTACCCCGGGGCTTAGCTTTTGTTAGGCTAAGCCCCGAGCCAAGGGAGAGGGGTCCTTATATAGCTAAAAAGCACAGTGCAGAAGCGAAAAGCATAGTTACAGGGATTCTATTGGACAATTTAATGAGGTACAGAGTTATTTTAGGTCAGTATATTCTCAAGGT